CATAGGTATTACCATGTGTCCTGTACAACCTGGCAGGTGTCCATTATATGTATTACCATGTGTCCTGTACAACCTGGCAGGTGTCCATTATATGTATTACCATGTGTCCCATACAACCTGGCATGTGTCCATTATATGTATTACCATGTGTCCCGTACAACCTGGCAGGTGTCCATTATAGATATTACCATGGGTCCCGTACAACCTGGCAGGTGTCCATTATATGTATTACCATGTGTCCCGTACAACCTGGCAGGTGTCCATTATAGGTATTACCATGTGTCCTGTACATCCTGACATGTGTCCATTATATGTATTACCATGTGTCACGTACAACCTGGCAGGTGTCCATTATATGTATTACCATGTGTCACGTACAACCTGGCAGGTGTCCATTATAGGTATTACCATGTGTCCTGTACATCCTGACATGTGTCCATTATATGTATTACCATGTGTCACGTACAACCTGGCAGGTGTCCATTATAGGTATTACCATGTGTCCTGTACATCCTGACATGTGTCCATTATAGGTATTACCATGGGTCCCGTACAACCTGGCAGGTGTCCATTATAGGTATTACCATGTGTCCGGTACAACCTCACATGTATCCATTATATGTATTCTTTATCATCACCATGTGTTTTAAGTGCCTTTTGATACCGTTTGTTTTACCTCTGTGTTTTCTCATGTGGTTGATATAACACACATTATACTTTTCGATATCCCTATGTGTAATATATTTTCTTCGCAACTGTGTCCACATTTCGACACATTAATCATTTACTTTCAATATCTGTGATGCCAGTCAGCAGAGTTTTGTGAATTTATACACATTATCGATTAAATACCATATTTATTTATTTCAAACCTCACACTTTGTATTATATTGTAGAAATACACCACGAAAACAATCAAAAGTTAATCAATTATATGTCCGTGTTCTAACCGTGATAATACACCACCGGTATGATTAAATAATCCGAGTGACTCTTCTGAGGTCATTTGTATGCAAAGCAAATGTCAGGTGACCAGTCACGTGATCCGATATGGAAATATTTGCTGTTGGAGTACACGTGACACGAAAGTTAATTTCATGTTACAGACTTTTCGGTCTAATAATCGTTCACGTTCAGTAAAGCATTTGATCGCGTTCGACATTAATGGAAGCCATGATTCGATGTGACAAGCTTAAACTGTGTGAATTAATGGAGAGTTTCTTGGATGTTGTAGTTTCTAATTCACAGACACTGATTGGGAGTGAATCACGAGCTGACAAGAACTTTATAGGTCATCATATACATGATGTTATCAATCATCAGAACTAACTGTAAACCGCCATATGGTAACACTAATGGTTGAACGATTGCATCCCTATATAGCATGGTATCCATCCATACTGCCGTTTTTCTCATTGAAACTTTGGCTGGATCTGGTCTAAACTCTCCAAATATGTACAGCGTGAAGCCTTAAAGGCTTATAACACTGAAAATCGAGATTTGGTACACGTGATGGACACGGCACAAGTAACCCATTGAGTAGCTTTGCGCTTAACAACAAACAAAAATGTCTGATTCCCAGTGGTTCAATGGTAAGCCTAAAAGCTTATAACACTGAAAATCAGGTTTCGATGCTCGCAGCACAAATAAGCCATTGTGTAGTTCTGCGCTTAACAACCAATAAAGAAAACTTTTTAGGGGTAAAACAAGTCGTAAAGACGTATATATATATATAACGTTATAAAGTATTATAATATCCTCTATTATTTAAATAACAAAATAGAAATTAAACTATATACATATCTCTCTCTCAGCAGCTCGATGCCTTTACTATGAGTCACTTTCAAAGTTATTGGTTTTCTAACGTCTGAATGAACGTGCAATCTACGCTCCAGTGGAAAATGCTGTTATCATTCGTAAACATTCAGAAAACTACCGCGATACGCCACGTGTACTAGATATTTTTATGAACTTCTGTTTTGGATTAGAGGCCTAGAATCCCGAGCCCTAAGTATATCGTTTGTTTGTTTCTAAACCTAAAGCTACAGAATAGGGATCTGCGTTCTCCCTACCGGGGGTATCGAAACCCCATTTTTAGCGTTCCGATTTACCATTGAGGTCAAATCTATTGTTTTAAAGTTAAAGAAAATGAATAAGTTAACTTTAAAATATGAGGGGGCACTGATTTACTGGTTTACAAATATGACCTGGTGCCGGTTGGTTACAGCACTAGAATCGCAATCTACAAGTCACGAGTTTGAATCTCGTCACCGAACATGTTCGTCTTTTATCCGTGAGGGCGTTATGACGTGACAGTCAATCCCACTATTCGTTGGTAATCTAAGAGTTGGCAGTTGGTGGTGTTAGCTAGCTACCTTCCATCTAATCTAACACTTCAAAATTAGAAATGGTTAGCGCAGAGAGCCCTTGTGTAGCTTAGCGCGAAACTCGACAAACAAAAAACAAAGGCCTGTAATTCATATGATTCTTCATTCGGCTAGTGTTATGTACACTGGTCTCAACAATCTTGTTTCAGTTTCCACTTCCAAGACAACTACTCAACATTCGTGTTCCACGGCTGGGTCTCACTCGCGCATGCCAGACGCCTAAAGATGACACATGAGACATAAAACAGATCGCCTGTAATAGGACCAATAACAGAAATTTAATTTTCGTACAATAACCTGACATATGTGGCGGTGGAGTGCCCAGGAATACGCACAAGTGGAGGAATTGACCTTAAAAATCTTCATAATGCCACACATTATCTTTGTACTCGTATTTTGGTGTACTCGGCTCCCCTGCCTTCAGCTTAATGTATAAAAACACTCCTTCGTTAGTATGCTAAACTTAGCTAAACGAAAAAAGTCAATTCGCCCTCCAGATTTTAGTCCCACCAAATGTTTACTTATAAGTTTATTTCAGGAGAAGTGTCACTCTCATGACTCCAGACACTAAAGATGCCATGGAAACATCTCTTTTAGATGAAAGTGACACCAGACACTAAAGATACCATGGAAACATCTCTTTTAGAAAAAAGTGACCCCAGACACTAAGGATACCCTGGAAACATCTGTTTTAGAGGAAAGTGACCCAGGACACTAAAGATACCTTGGAAACATCTCTTTTAGAGGAAAGTGACACAAGACACTAAAGATACCATGGAAACATCTCTTTTAGAAAAAAGTGACCCCAGATATTAAAGATGCCCTGGAAGCATCTCTTTTCGAGGAAATAGACACTATACACTAAAGATACCCTGGAAACATCTCTTTTAGAGGAAATAGACACTATACACTAAATATGTTCTGGAAACATCTCTTTTAGAGGAAAGTGACCCCAGATACCTTGGAAAGGTACTCTGGAAACATCTCTTTTAGAGGAAAGTGACACCAGACACTAAAGATGAGACCTCACTCAATAAAGATATCTTAACTACAGCTGTATTAGAAGAGTGGTCCCATATGTACCAACATTTGTTTTGGAACATACAATATCGTTTTCAGGCTTCCCTTGCCGTTTCGTGTTAAGGTGAAAATTTGTAAACTGTAACGTTGCAACGACTATATCAGTTTATTTTAGGCATGCGCTACAGAATACATTTATTTAAATTATCAAAACATTTTGGAGAGAAAACTCCAGCTTACGTAGCGTATCTGGTGCCCGAGAAGAGTAATGTTCAGTTAAACAGTTATAGTGAAAAATTCGAGTTAGGACTAAAAGTTCAATTTTTGGTCATCACATTTGAAATATACGTTGTATGAGTATTGCAAGTTATTAGACAATCAAGAAAGTTAATTTGTTTGGTGATATGAACGACGAGTTTGTTTGTTTGTAGTTAAGCACAAAGTTACACGATGGGCTATCTGTGCTCTGCCCACCACTTGGGTGCTTATTTTAGTAAAACTTTAAATCTTGTTTTTATTACAACTCTAATGCTTCTTTTAGACACAATCTGGCCTTACACGTATCTGTGATTGCACTGATCTGAATAACGAAGTATGGTTAATTTGTACAAGCAGTTGCGACAAACAAACTTCCCGAATACGTGCTTCGACCAAGCAAGCATGTTTTAAAAGGTTAACAGAGGTAATGAAATAGTTGAATCAAAGAACGGGTTTTATGATTTTCACCGAGTTATTTCATTTCCAACTTAATCTTTAAAACTAGAAGATCGAACCTGACTGTCTCCAACACTTAATCACGAACAGTTTCCCGATTCCAAGCGAGTAATGTTGTTATGGCTATAACCGAGAACAGTATTTATAAGGTCTGGCAAATGAATTCTTTCAAATTGTCTGTAAAGACTTCTCTTTTAGAAAGTTCACTCTCGAGTAAATTGCAGAACGAATGAGATAAGTTAATTAATTGAATTGTACAATTTGTGAATATAGACTTTGAGTCTTTTTAGATAGACAAACGTTTCACTTGCGAAGCTTATCTTATATTTATTATATGCAAACATTTCGACTGACTTTTATGTAAACTGATTATGGCAATATATCTATTCCATTTCATTAATGAAAGCCCATTTAATAACAAGTAATATATTATTGTTCGATGATCAGGTATATAATAGTTCTATAAGGGTCTGAGCGTGGCCTAATGATTCATGTATCAGCTGGATATCCGAGAACCTCGGGTTCGAGACGTGGTTCTACCAAACACTCTTCATAATTTTTAGCTGTGAGTTTATTAATACAGTAGTAACGATGACTAATAATGAACACGGTTGATAAAACACAAAACATTTGATTTACAAAGTTCGAACGTTTCGGAATACACTCATTCCATCTTCAGCGAAATCGGATTATTAACTAAAACTATAATAGCATAATAACTAGTTTACTTAGTTTTTAAGAGAAGTGGTAAACGGAAGGATGAAGCAGAAACAAAGATTATAGATATATTGTACAACAGTTGAGTGTTAAGTGTGAACATTTAGAACAATTTTAGATCTAAAGAGCTTTGTGAGGCGTTAAGAGTTGGTCGGTCTTTAGCTATGAGTAAATTTTATTTAATGTAAAGGTCAAGGTCTGAAGATAGTGTGGTGATGAGGTCAAGGTCTGAATATCGTGTGGTGATGAGGTCAGGGTCTGACGATAGTGTGGTGATGAGGTCAAGGTCTGAAGATCGTGTGGTGATGAGGTCAGGGTCTGAAGATCGTGTGGTGATGAGATCAAGGTCTGAAGATCGTGTGGTGATGAGGTCAGGGTCTGAAGATCGTGTGGTGATGAGGTCAAGGTTTGAAGATAGTGTGGTGATGAGGTCAAGGTTTGAAGATAGTGTGGTGATGAGGTCAAGGTCTGAAGATCGTGTGGTGATGAGGTCAGGGTCTGAAGATCGTGTGGTGATGAGATCAAGGTCTGAAGATCGTGTGGTGATGATTCAAGGTTTGAAGATAGTGTGGTGATGAGGTCAAGGTCTGAAGATCGTGTGGTGATGAGATCAAGGTCTGAAGATCGTGTGGTGATGAGGTCAGGGTCTGAAGATCGTGTGGTGATGAGGTCAAGGTCTGAAGATAGTATGGTGATGAGGTCAAGGTCTGAAGATCGTGTGGTGATGAGGTCAAGGTCTGAAGATAATGTGGTGATTAGGTCAAGGTCTGAAGATAGTGTGGTGATGAGGTCAAGGTTTGAAGATAGTGTGGTGATGAGGTCAAGGTCTGAAGATAGTGTGGTGATGAGGTCAAGGTTTGAAGATAGTGTGGTGATGAGGTCAAGGTCTGAAGATCGTGTGGTGATGATAGAGCAATCGTTAAATGATATATTGTGACCTCTGGTTTCAGATTGTGAACGAATGGATGAGTGGCTGTGTTTAAGTAATAAAAAATCTTGCTATTCAGATAAGAGTAGCCACTTTAGGGACGGATACTGCTACTGGTTGTTTTCTTCCCAATTTGCACTTCACAATTAGGGTTAGCTCTTGTCTGGACATTTAGCCCATTGTGTACATAAGATATTGTTAGTAGAATGAAAAAACGGTTTTACTTAATTAAACCTTTGTTTCTTTGTTTGTAATTAAGCACAAAGCTACACAATGGGCTATCTGTGCTCTGCCCACCACGGGTATCGAAACGCGGTTTCTAGCAGTATAAGTCCGCAGACGTACCGCTGTGCCACTAGGGGGCATTAAACCTTAGAAAAAACAATATAGAAATCAAGCAGTAGGAATTTTGTATTTTATTAGAGCAATGAGAATAATACAATAAGAAAGGATACGACATTAATATGAGGTTTTGGAAATAGCTAGAATTATCAACGAACTTTACAATACCTGTCCGTGATCATTTGCGTCTTCCATAAAACTCAAATAACTATAAAACATGGTATGCCGTGAAGTTTATCTAAGGGGTAAGGATAACCTTAATTTCGAGAACTTTAATCAAAAGATAATGATAAATCATAGGTGTGATTTGTTTTGAATTTCGCCAAAGATACTTTAGGACTATCTGCGGTAGCCTTTCCTACTTTATACAAGAAGGAAGGAAGGTATTTAATCCTGATCATCAGGCCATAGAGGATTTAACATCGATGGCTTTAATCAATTGGTAAGGACTAAATCGTAAGAGGTTAAACTTAAAACAAAGGTTAAAGAAAGTTCCTAGAAATTAACTTCGAGAACTTTAACCAGAACACAAGAGTCTCTTAACTTCTAGAGGAGTTAATTCCGAGAACTTTAAATAAAGGTTAGTGTTAAACTTTCAGAACTTTAAATAAAGGTTAGTGTTAAACTTTCAGAACTTTAACCAGAGGGTAAGAGTCTCTTAACTTCTAGAGGAGTTAATTCGGAGAACTTTAAATAAAGGTTAGTGTTAAACTTTCAGAATTTTAACCAGAACACAAGAGTCTCTTAACTTCTAGAGGAGTTAATTCCGAGAACTTTAGATAAAGGTTAGTGTTAAATTTTCAGAACTTTAAATAAAGGTTAGTGTTAAACTTTCAGAATTTTAACCAGAACACAAGAGTCTCTTAACTTCTAGAGGAGTTAATTCCGAGAACTTTAGATAAAGGTTAGTGTTAAACTTTCAGAATTTTAACCAGAACACAAGAGTCTCTTAACTTCTAGAGGAGTT